GTTTTATTTTAATTGCTTCCTTTTAAAAATAGATTTTCATTAATACTCACTTTAATCTGTGAGTACATGCCAGTTTAGATGAGACCATGAGCAGCCAGCCTTCATGATTCATATTCATAGAGATAACAAGGTGGTCCAATCTAATACAAAAACTGTAGAATAGTTTAGGGAAATGTTCCTCTTAGATTAAATGTTTTTATTAGTTATTAGCAGAAATAACTCATGTTTACTTGCTATTTTTATTTGTTTCTTCCATCCATCCATCCATCAATTATTGTAACCTCTTATTCCCTAACGGGGAACTGGAGCCTATCCTAGTAGCCAATGGGGAGAGGCATGGTTGTAAAAGGTCTTCCACAGAGTGTACGACCTTTTGGAGATGATGCATACTTTACCATAGATGATGAATTTCTATACACATCTTTGTGATTTTGCTCACTTTCAAAGCTCTCCAACAAACATTTGTTATTTCTGTATGCAGAGCACCCATAGTGTTGTGGTGATGATCAACCATAAATAGGGATTGTTGGCAGTCCATTGCCTTAACCACAACAACCACACAGCAAAGTGATCTGAGCCAGTTTAGTCCCTCCATTTCCAGTATCTCCATTATGATTTTAATCCCCCTCTTTCTAACAACCAAACAGTCTTTACACATTGGCTCTTTCTTGTGGCATCCAGGTCACGCTGAAGCCTGCTCTATACTGTATGTCTTTGTACAGTTTCACTTAACATCAGCATAGTATAATATTGAGTCTTTGTGTCTAGAGAGGGGTGTCGTGAGTAGCAACTGAGCTTCAATGAATATTTTTGTGAAGCTGCTTTTACTATGTGAGCTTATCCTATTACAAGTAATGGCCAAGCAGGACATATCCACACATGTGATTCAGAAAAGTCATTGCTGGCAGGACTCAAACCTGCACAGGGAAACCCCAATGGATTTCTAGTCCATCACCTTAACCACAACAACCCTTACCGTATGGCTGAGCTGGTTCATTTTCTCCATACCCCATTAACTGTCCTACTCTACTCAGTCAGAACATCAACCATAGACCATGTCCTTCCAACAATGACTTGTAGTATTCCAGTCCATCGCAGGGCAACACACACAAGGACAAACAACCACTCACAGTCACTAAGGGCAATTTCCCCAATCTCCAATCAACCTAACATGCAGGTTATTGGACTGTGGGAGGAAGCCGGAGAACCCGGAGAGAACCCACGCAGACACAGGGAGAACATGCAAACTCCACCCAGAAAGGTCCTGGGTCCCCTGGGACTTGAACCCAGAACTTTCTTGCTGGGAGGCAACAGTGCTAACCACCACACCACCGTGCCACCCTCCAAAACGTATTTATTTATTCATTTTTGTTACCAAACTTCCATATGTCCAATAACGCCAAACCTGACAGAGGGACAGGGGGGAGGGAAGAGTTGTGGAAAGGAGAGCGATCCTTTAGAAAATGAGTGAAGGAGAGAAAGAAAATAAAAGAAAAAAGAACGAAAGACAACAAGATCATACAACCAGCTGCTATGTCTGTAAAAAGGACACTGTTCCATGTGGGCAATCCGGGTGGAGAACCTGTAGTAGCTCCTGCAAAAGGGCACAGGGAAGACAAAACCATAAACAAGCAACAGAAGCCACAACACTGGTATCAGGACATTAACGAACTTCTCAGAATTGTGCTGCAACTGTAAACAAGTTTAAGGGGGCGTGTGTCTGGGTAACTGACTGTGTGTGTGTGTGTGTGTGTGTGTGTGTGTGTGTGTGTGTGTGTGTGCGTGTGTGTGTGTGTGTGTGTGTGTGAAAGAGTGAGAACCCGCAGCCCAGGTTTACCCGATTGTGCTCCGTTATAGTGCAGAGGGGCCACCAGCCGAAGCCCCCCCCCTCCAGCGCTGCGAAGAGGGCAGAGAGTGCCCCCAGACCCGGTCCCCCAGCAGCCCCCCGAGCACAGATCCCGGGAGGACAACCACAGGGACGACCGGGCGCCAACCCAGAAGGCAACCAGGAAAGCCCCCTAAAGAGTCTCACCACTGTATGGCAGAGGCCCTAGCCCCAGCTCAGCGCTCTGCCAGAAGGCCGTTCCACCTGAAACTGCAAAAACCGGTCCAGCAGGTGAAACCAGAGCCCAATGAGGACCTCATTCCTCACAGGTTGAGCCTGAAGCTGATTGGTGGAGAGCAGCTTCCTGCAGGTGGAGTCACAGCTGTCCGAGGCCACCAGGTGCTGTCTTTAGGGCTCTGAAGGCTCGGTCTGATGGAGACGCTGCTGCTCTCTGTGCTCCTCCTGCAGGGTAAGATCAGCTCTTATTCCTCACTCAGCCTCCTTCTTCCGGCTCTGATCTCCATTCGTTTACCTGAAACTGACTGTTTGTTTGTGTCCTCAGTTTCCCAGCAGGCGTTGGGTGGAGTGGTGGAGGTTCATGAGGGGGCTGAGTCAGTCCTGCTGCCCTGTGAATTCAATGATCCTCTTCCTGAGGACGACCCCCACTTCATTTGGACCCGTGAAGATCTCAGTCCCAAATCTGTCCACCTGCAACGAGCTGAAAAAGATGACCTGACAGAACAAAACCAGCGTTTCAGAGGACGCACGGCCATGAATCCTGATACTCATATAACGAGAAACTTCAGCCTCACCCTGATGAAGCCCCAGCAGTCTGACAGCGGGGGCTACACCTGCTCCATCAGTGATGGGACAGCAGAACTGAAGTTAGAGGAAGTTCATCTGAAGCTCAAAGGTGAGCAGCAGGCAGCAGGTCAGAGGTTTTGT